GGAAGACCTTAGTCTCTGTCTCTCTCTCTCACTGTCCACTCTGCCTGTCAAAAAAAAAAAAAAAAAAAAAAGTAAACATGAAACACATCTCAATGCCAGATTCACTGACAGAGTAGGTAGGATTATTATACAATCAACAAAATGACAGATCTTAATTCTTTTCTATCAGTACTAATCTTGAATGTAAATTGAATAAATTCACTAACCAAAAAACTTAAGTTAGTTTCATGGATAAGAAACAACAACCCCACTGTATGCTGACTGCAAAAAACCCACTTCACAAGCAAAGATAGACACAGACTGAAAGTGAAGTGACTGAAAAAGATATACCAAGAAATGAAAACCAAAAGCGAGCCAGTGTAGCTATCCTGATATCAGATAAAACAGACTTTACATCAAAAACTGTAAAAAGAGATAAAAGACATTATATTGTGATAAAAGGTTCTATTCATCTAGAAGACACAACAATCATAAATATATATGTACCCCACTCAAGGTCACACAGATATCTACAGCAAATATGATTAGATCTAAAGGGAAAGATAGTCTCCAACACAATAAAAATGGGTGACTTCAGCATCTCATTCTCATCAAAGAACAGGATGTTCAGACAGAATATCAATATACATTGGAGTTGAAACATATTATCAAACAAACAGACCTGACAATTACAGGACATTTCACCTAACAGCTATAGCATACACATTCTTCTTATCAGTACATGGAACGTTTTCTAGAATAGACCACATATTAGGCAAAAAATCAAGTCACTGAAAATTTAAAAAGACTGAAATCTTATCATGTATATTTTTAGACCTTAAAGGAATAAACCAAGAAATCAACAACAAGAACCACAGAACACTAATAAATTCTTGGGAATTATACATTGAATGATCAATAGTTCACTGAAGAAATTAAAAAGGAAATTAAAAACTTTCTTGAAGTAAATAAAAATAAAAATATAACATTTCAAAATCTGTAGGATACAGCAAAAGCAGTATTAAGAGGCAAGTTTATAGCATTAAGTGTTTACCTTAAAAAAAGTTTTAATTTAATTTCTTTAAGATTTTTAAAAAGAGTCACACATTTATTTGAAAGGAAGAGTTACAGAGAGAGGGAGTGACACAGAGAGAAAGAGATCTTTCATCTGCTGGTTCACTCCGCAAAAGCCCGCAATAGCCTGTGCTGGGCTAAGCTGAAGCCAGGAGTCTGGAACTACATCAGGGTCTCCCATGTGGATGCAGGTGCCAAAGGACTTGGGTCATTTCCACTGCTTTCCCAGGCACATTAGCAAAAAGCTGGACTGGAAGTGAAGCAATCATGACTTGAACTGGTGCCCATATGGGATAACAGAGACCCAGGTGATGGTTTAACCCAATCTGCCATAATGTCAGCATCCTCTTGAAGATGTTTGTTTATTTATTTATTTAAATATTTAATCATTTATTTGAAAGGCAGAGTTCAGAGACAGAAATAGACAGAGAGATTTTCCACCTATTGGTTCATTTCCCAAATGGCCAAAACAGCTGGGGTTGGGCCAGGCCAAAGCCAGGAGCCAGGGGAGTTTCCTCTGGAGCTCCCACATGGTCTCCTTTATCTGTTGCTTTCTCAAGCTCAATAGCAGAGGGTTGGATTGGAAGTGGAGCAGCCAAGACATGAATTAATGTCCAGATGGGATGCTGATGCTCAGGCAATGGCTTAACCCACTGTGCCACAGTGTTGGCCTTATCTTGAAGATAAAATAGCTAATTTGAGGCCTCTTGCTTGCTAAATCCAACAGCAGATCCACTAAGAGTTAGTTTATTTTGACGACCTCTCCTCTACTGCCATCCTCAACCTCATTTCTCATAAGTATAGGTCATACTCGGCAGTCTAATAATTTTTGGTGGAAAACTGGAAAATGTAACTAATACATTGTAATTACGGTGTATTTTATTTTGTTCTTATGAGGATTATGGGTTTTTGTTTGTTTAGTGCAAACAGGCAATTATCTGACCTGGATTTGAACTCTGAAATCTGTTCTCCTCAGTACATAGCAGCTGGTATCTATGATTCATTCTTATTGCTTTCCATGTTTGTTTTTATAGCTAGTGCTCTAGGGAATGACCATGGGCCTGCACAACTTGAGGGACACTCAAGATTTGGGCAGAGGTAGAGTTTTATCCTCCATGATTTCTTTGCTCCTAGGGATTCCCTATAATGTAAAGCTGTTCCTCCAGATTTGAGATCTATCCTCTGATACTTAAAAAATAAGATTTCATTTGTCTGCTGCTCTAGTTGTCCAAATTAAAAAGCAGTACACTCAAATATCTAGTTTCAAGAATTCAAAACGTGTGTGGAAAATGGAATTAAAAGGTATATTTATTTTGTCATAAAGTTTTTGAAATTCATGTATATTTATTCATAATACATATTTTCCATAATTATTTTTTATTTCTTTTAAAAATTTACATAGGTGAACAAATTTCATGTGTTTTATATATAGATTTAGGAGCACAGTGATATTTCCTACTTTAACCTCTCTCCCTACTTCCCTCCTCCTCCTTCCTTTTTGTTGGACAGGCAGAGTTGGACAGTGAGAGAGAGAGAGAGAGAGAGAGAGAGAGAGAAAGGTCTTCCTTCTGTTGGTTTACCCCCAAAATGGCCGCTATGGCCAGTGAGCTGAGCTGATCCGAAATCAGGAGGCAGGTGCTTCTCCTGGTCTCCCATGCGGGTGCAGGGCCCAAGCACTTGGGCCATCCTCCACTGCCTTCCCGGGCCACAGCAGAGAGCTGGACTGGAAGAGGAGCAACTGGGACAGAACCAGTGCCCAAACCAGGACTAGAACCCGGAGTATGGGCGCCGCAGGCGGAGAATTAGCCTAGTGAATGCGGCGCCGGCCCTCTTTCCTTTCTTATTTATGAATTTTTTGAGGAATATATCTATGTATTTTCCAAGAGCAGATTTCACTCAAATTTCTGTTTTGGAGTACTTCATTGTGCTCTGTACTCTAATGCCATATACATAGTTTGGCTATCCGGCATGGATTTCCTAAGAATTTATACTCAGAAGCTGCGTCTCAATTTTTTTTTTTTTTTTGTGGTTCTTCTGCTGTCAATTTTTCTTTAAATTTTCAAGTGCTTTTCTAGCTCTAAACTTTGATCTTGGATACCTTCAGCCGAATAAAACTGCTGTTTTCTGAAGATGTATCTTTGGAAATTGGGATAACCATGTCGGACATTTAAAAACTAATGATTCTTACCTCTTATTATCATCGTTGTGTTTTGGAGTGTTTTCCAGTGTTTTTAAAAAATTATCCTTTTATAAATATTGACTTCAGTGAATTCTATCTCCTAAATAACAATTTACCCTTCTTTCTTAATTTTATGATCTCTGTCATGAATCTCAAGCTCTGTAATATTAATATAGCCACTCATCTGAAAAATAGTATGTATTTGTGCATATATATTTATAGAGCAGGCCCATGGTGCAGCAGGTTAAAGCTGCTGCTTAGGATATGCACACATAATATCAGAGTACTGGTTTGGTCCTGGCTATTCTACTTCCAATCCAGCTTCCTGCTAATGAACATGGTAAGGCAGCAAACGATGGTCCAATGACTTGGGTCCTAGTCACCCATGTGGGAGACTTGGATGGAGTTCATGGCTCTTAGCTTCAGTCTGGCTCAATTCTAGCTGCTGTAGCCATTTGGAGGAGTGAACTAGTAAATAAAAGACCCATGTCTCTCCTTCTCTGTCAGTCTGCCTCTCAAATAAATATATCAATCTTAAAAATATGTACATTTGAGGCAACTATGTCAAAATGTTAAAAACTTAAGTCTATGTGTGCTGATGGAACTCTTCCTTATACTTTTCTATATTATTTGAAATAGTTTTAAAATAAAAACAATAAACTTATCCAATTTTTACAACTGTCATCTATGCAAGGATTCTAACTATTGCACAAATGCAATCAGTTTTTTCCAGATCAGGAAGCCAGATTTAGAGTTATATAGCTAGTAAGTACCAAAGCTAGAATTTTTAATAATTTTATTCATCCTAAATCTAAACCCTGACCTATGCTGACACTCTCCTGAAATTTGTCAATTACATATAAAAGAACTAGAGTTTGTTATTTAATGAATATTTTCAAATATAGCATTAAAACATTATTAAATGTTTCTCTTCCATCTACATATAACTAATTAACCAAAACACAATCTTATTTTTTTTAAGAGAGTACATGTCCCATAATTTCTTTTTTTTTTTAACTTTTATTTAATGAATATAAATTTCCAAAGTACAGCTTATGGATTACAATGGCTCCTCCCCCCATAACTTCCCTCCCACCAGTAACCCTCCCCTTTCCCACTCCCTCTCCCCTTCCATTCACATCAAGATTCATTTTCATTTCTCTTATACACAGAAGATCAGTTTAGTATATATTAAGTAAAGATTTCAACAGTTTGCACCCACGTAGAAACACAAAGTGAAAAATACTGTTTCAGTACTAGTTATAGCATTAAATCACAATGTACAGCACATCAAGGACAGAGATCCTACATGAGGAGTAAGTGCACAGTGACTCCTGTTGTTGACTTAACAAATTGACACTCTTGTTTATGGCATCAGTAATCACCCTAGGCTCTTGTCATGAGTCGCCAAGGCTATGGAAGCCTTTTGAGTTCACCAACTCTGATCATATTTAGACAAGGTCATAGTCAAAGTGGAAGTTCTCTCCTCCCTTCAGAGAAAGGTACCTCCTTCCCAAAACACAATCTTATATTAATCTGCTTAGGGATGATGAGGATGTTTTCTTGAATTAGGCTCAGGTGTCTAGAAATAAAAAGTTCTTTATAAAGTTGTTTCCAATATTATTATTTAGCATCCTATTTTTACATTTAGGGGGCAATAAAACAATGAATTTTCTCCTAATAACTCCCTTTAACACAAAATCCAAAATAAATCAAACATAAAATATATAGAAAATTAAGCTACAATTGTCTTAGAAATGGAACATACCTTCTTCTGCATCTGTGCCTGAAGATCTTCAGTCACTTTAGTTAACTCTTCCACTTTTGCTGATGCAACTCTAAGATCTAACTTGGCTTTCCTGAAAAGCAGAAAGTAAATTAATGAACATTATTTTCAGAGACCATAAAGTATAAAAAATTAGGAGACAACTACATTTTATAATATCAGTACTAACTCTAATGTATCTAAATATGGATCTGAGGAATAAATTCTAAAATTACCTTATTATTTATTATAACAAAATATATGTGGGAGAGAGTAAAGAGGAACAAACATAGCTGAGTGGGGAGGGGTGCAAAGGAGGAACCACAAATACTTTATTTGGATAAATAATACTTTACAGAAATAATTTGATATATTTAATTAAAAACAACTTCATCATCTTAACTAGTTACCTAACACAAGTTTTTGTCCACCAAGTAGCATATTTTTAGGTTTATAATTTCTTGAATTTATGATTAGAGAAATATTGAATATATATTACAGAATTTATGAAAACAAACCTAAGCTTCAATATCTTTTCATTCTCTGAACACCAGAAGTATATATTATGCACTTAATCCAGTCAATGAAAACATAGTCCAATGACAATGTAATATATACTTTCTTCAGAGACTGTGGTTATAATGGACAACATAAGCTCGTGTTTTTGAACATTCTAATAAATTTGATTATCTTTCTGATGCTACATAGGAAATAATTTTAGAACAATAGCATGAGCTTATTAAACAGTGTGAACACAGAATATTCAAATTGATTATATATAGGACATATATTTTTAGGAAAAGGCTACTTTAGTGTAGGGTCTGTCCCCATTTGCTTATTTACTACTTTAAATGTATTTAAATGTAAATAACAGTACTATTTGACTTAAAAGGAACTATCTGATGAAAAGTTTACATGTAAATGCTACTTCATTTAATTTTGACTCTAACAGTATTCATAAATATGAAATATATTATTATAAAACAACAGGAAATACATATCTAATTATATCGTAATTATGAGTAACTTGGAACAGTTGTAAATGGTTTGCAATCATCTTAATTAACACTCACAATAACTGTGGATTAAGGAATATTATAATATCAAACTGAAATGGAGGGGAGTGAGGTTGATAGAGATTTACCAATATGCTCAAGAATTTACAAAAAGTAAAAACTAGGATAATAGCAGAATCCTCTATTATATACTACCAAAAAAAGATCCTAATATTTTTTAAGATTAATATTTAAAAAATACTTTGTTTTAAATAAACCCAGATTATAAAAAAATTAAACAAAATCGACTTTCTTCACTCACAAAATGATTCACCAAATGACAAAATAAAAACAAAAGAAAAAACCCATCTTACATCAATGCATGCAAAATCTTCCTTAACCTTACAGATAATTTCAGGAGTACATCTACTATGTAAACCAGTAAATGAATCTATCAATTACAAAATCCTACATATTTTAAAGGGAAAAACTTAAGGAATAAGATATTTAAGTTGTGATGATAAAATTGAGAAAATGATGGTAAGTTGTGATAATAAAACTTTGAATAACCATGGCAATTTAGGTCTTTACCTTCATAAAAGATTTAATAATTCTCGTTTACTTGTTTCATGGGCTTGCCAACAGGTCAAAATAGATAAAGTACTTTCAAGTGCCCATTAAAATATAAATAAATATGTCAATGTAAGTTCACATATAGCATGATCAAGGCAAAACAAATCTGTTGGAGACACAAAAGCAAGGTACAATGTGGAGAACACGAAAGTCAGGAAGCTATTTTGTTACTAACTCATAATGTGGCCCAATGCAGTTCACATGACCATAATAGATGTCTCAAAGACCTCATGTCCAATTACAAGGAGGAGGATTAGGTAACCTGCTATGATCAAAAATTCTGTAATAGATTCTTTCTTCATTTCTAATATTCTTGAGTATATTTCTAAATTGTCTCTCAATTTCACAATCAAGTTTCACTTCCATGGCTGAACTACTAGCCCCATCTTCACTTCCAAAATTATCCACCATTGATCTCTTTAATTTAATCTATATATCTTATATGTTAAAAAAGTTACATAATAAAAAAATTCCTGTTTAAAAATTATTTCTGGATTCCATACTTTTTTTTTTTGGCACAAATCTATGTCTAATTAATTTATGTGGCAAATAAAGCCAGTCATTAGCCTTAACAAATGTCATCTTTTGCCAACTCACTCCCAGATAATTTGTATTCCTAGTATAATAGCCTACTAACTCATTGTTTCCTAAATACATCCTTGCTTCTTTTTTTACACACTCAATTGAGCTGGACTTCCTTCTCTTTTTTTCTGACAAACTCCTCAAAAGTTTTCCTATCTTAAGTTTCTTTAACTTCTCTTAGGCAAAAGACTCTACAATTCCAATCCTTATAATATATAACAGATGGTTGTATTATAATCACTACTGTAGGAGTCCTCCTCTGTAGAGTTTTAAATTCATTAAAAAACAGAATGTTAAATAATTGAAGGCAAGCATCGAATCTTATTATTTTCAAACTCTCAGGAGATAGCACAGAACCTGGCACATTGTAAACAAGTAAATCTATCATGAGTGGAAAAGAGGGCAAGAGGAGAGAGGAAGAGGGAGAGGGAAAGAGAGAGAACCAGTCAGAAGTATACCTTTATCTTAATGCTTTTATTTAGTATCTTATATACTCAATTTTATATTTATATGTAGAGAATCCTAGAATAATAATTTTGTGAACAGTTCTTCCAAATATATATCATCTCATACTCATTTGGAAAAGAATCTCTTAACTACATAAAAGAAAAAAATCAGGCACTGTACTTAGATCTAATTTGTAAGTCATCAAAAGGAAGAACAGAGGAGGGCATTCAGCCTACTGATTAAGACACCCACATCCCATATTGGGGTGTCTGGGCTGATACTTGTCTCCCGCACCTGACTCCAGCTTCTTGCTAATGCACACCCTAGGGGACAGCAGGCAACGGTACAAGTACTTGGGTTTCTACCACCCAAAATGGGAGCCCTAGATAGGGTTTCCAGCTCCTGGCTTTCATCTGACCCGACCTTGGCTGTTAAACACATTTGAGCAGTGAATTGGTAGATGGGAGCAACCTCTCTCTCACCTTTTCTCTCTCTCTCTCTCTCTCAAATACATAAACAAAAGGAAAAATATTCTGAAAGCATTTGAACTATTATATTCTCTAAAGCACAAATACTATGTTTTGTGAGTGAAAATAACTGGTAGTTTTATACATATTCATTCATTCCCTCATTGTTCCACAGGGTAGTTAGAAAATGTGGCTCTTTATATTTATTTCTGCTAGCTATGTTAAAGAAAATTCTAGATTAAAAGTCATAACGTTTTCCTAGATCTGGCTTTTACCACTACAAAAAATGTGAACTGGATCAATCAACTGAATATAACTATCAGAATCTGTAAAATGGAAATAAAAGTAATCTTCCCATATAACTCACTGAATGATAATAAAGTTCAAATAAGCTTAAAGCAAGTACTTTAAAAATTTACTGTATTTTATACAAATGTAGCTATCATCATCATCTTGCCTTTTATTAGATTAAGTTGTCAGGAACTGTGTACTGTAGCACTGATTTACAGCTGGACTGGGAAAGCTCTAGGGATGCCAGAAAATCTGGTCTTGACTCTTAGCCAATCTATGAATAGAGGGATTTATGATGTGCTGCTTAAAGTATGAATATCTCCTGGCAACCTTCAAAGTTGATTTTTTTTTTTACTGTTGATTTTCAGCTGGCTTAGACAGCTATGTGACCAGATTGGCAAACAAACAAAAACTCTGATGGGAATTTTAGCTTGGGGTACACCCAAAGCCAAGATTAGATCTTAATGGTTTAATTTGTAGACAAAGTATGTCTCCAGATGAATAAAGACCTTAGGACATTTATGCCTGGATGTTACATGGACCTATGAAGCTTTCTTGACTGTGATAGTTTTCCTGCTGCACGATATGATTGCCCTTAAATAAGTTTTCTGAAATTAAATTCTGGGAAGTTTTTTATGAGTCTTTGCAAATATTTCAACTTGTGAAATCTTTGAACAAATCAAAAATAATTTAATTTTATAAAGGAACTAATAATATATTCATATCAATCACATGCAAATGTTTTAAATATATGTCTGCTTGTGTATGTAATTTTATAAAAGTCAAAAACAATTTTCATTTCAGGAAGATGAATTGGAATACAGAGTACTAGTTAAATATTAACAACCTTGATATCAAAACTATCCAAGTATTTTGTTCTTGTTGCTCCAAATATTTTAAATTAAAAATAGTTTGTTTATTTGAGAGGCAGAGACAGAGGGGAAGATTCCATTTTTATTTCTCAAATGCCCACAATAACCAACATCAGGCTAGGTCAAAGGCAGGAGCTAGGAATTCAATCCAGCTCTCCTGTGTTAAGGAGCCAACTTCTTGAGCCATCATCTGCTACCTTCCATGAAGCATATTAGCAGGAAGCTGGAATCAGGAATAGAGCTGGGCCTAGCCCAGGCACTCCAGCATGGGGTGTGAGCGTTCCAAACAGTGTCATAACTGCTGTGCCAAAATGCCTGTTTCCCAAATATTTTAAAGGACATATCACTTCATTTTTGTGCATGTTTCTTTATGAATCAATTTTAAATTTCTGGGAGATTTCATTAATGTAAATTTCAATTACTTATAATATTACAGAAATTTGAATTAAACTTATCAAAATCAAACTTCACTCTTCCAAGCAAGGTGTAATCAAGAATAAGATAAAGAATAGAACATTAGATTTCATTATACCATCAATAGAGACAGAAATTAATATGCCTCAATTATCAATGCATTTTTGGAGATAACATCAAATACTATGAGTCAATTTTAACATCAATTTTTGTCTGTTTCCTCTTGCACTCTCTGAACATGGGAATCTCAGGAATAACTATAAATTGTTTTTCACACCATGAAAAATGATAAGATTCTATGAGAAATAAAACCCAATATTTACTGATTTGGTATTTATTCTTTTTCTGCTTTAAAATAAAAGAAATGCAGATGTTAGGTCCTTTACTATGTAC